TTCCCTCAGTAGTGTTGTTGGTCCTGTTGTACCATTTCCCTCAATAGTGTTGTTGGTCCTGTTGTACCATTTCCCTCAATAGTGTTGTTGGTCCTGTTGTACCATTTCCCTCAATAGTGTTGTTGGTTCTGTTGTACCATTTCCCTCAGTAGTGTTGTTGGTCCTGTTGTACCATTTCCCTGTTGTACCATTTCCCTCAAGTGTTGTTCCTGTTGTACCATTTCCCTCAATGTGTTTATTGGTTCTGTTGGTCCTTTTCCTTGATTAGTGTTGTTGGTCCTGTTGTACCATTTCTCTCAATAGTGTTGTTGGTCCTGTTGTACCATTTCCCTCAGAAGTGTTGTTGGTCCGGTTGTACCATTTTCCTCAGTAGTGTTGGTCCTGTTGTACCATTTCCCTCAATAGTGTTGGTTGTTGTGTACCATTTCCTTTAGTGTTGGTTGTGTTGTACCATTTCCCTCAGTAGTGTTGGTTCTGTTGTACCAATTCCCTCATTAGTGTTGGTTGTGGTGTACCATTTCCCTCAGTAGTGTTGTTGGTCCTGTTGTACCATTTCCCCCAGTTGTGTTGTTGGTCCTGTTGTACCATTTCCCTCAGTTGTGTTGTACTTTTTCCCTCAGTAGTGTTGTTGGTCCTGTTGTACCATTTCCCTCAATAGTGTTTTTGGTCCTGTTGTACCATTTCCATCAGTAGTGTTGTTGGTCCTGTTGTACCATTTCCCCCAGTTGTGTTTTTGGTCCTGTTGTACCATTTCCCTCAGTAGTGTTGTTGGTCCTGTTGTACCATTTCCATCAGTAGTGTTCATGTTGTTTTACAATTCCCCTCCGAAGTGTTGGGTCACATTATACCCTTAATAATGCAAGTGCTGAATCTGTTGTACCACTTCTCTTAGAAATGTTTATGTTATATCATTCCCCACATTAGTGATGGTACTCTTGCACCATTACCTGTATTTAATCCTGCAGTATCGTTACTGACAATAGCACTGGTCTGTTGTACTACTACACTCTGTGCAGTACTTGTCCCATTTTTTCTATCAGCTCTGTACATGTGGTCTGGTGTATATTTTTAATGTGCAGCTGGATTGTTGTTGACGATACCTTTGATATGGCTTATCGCAGCTAGTCATTCTTTTTTTGACCATGTTTTACCATAGAAGTTTTCTGCATGTATCTGTACCTTGTTTTCAGCGTCGATATGAAAAACGTTTCAATGCCAGTTTCTTCTTTATCGAGTGCAATACTTGCTTTTCAATAAATAAGTTAGGTGGGTTATGTAGCTTTACATATTATTCTCAGTACAGCTCTTGCTATGCATCTTTACATTCTACTTTTATATCAAAGATATTCTAATAGTGACATAGCAAGGAACCGAATGTACCAGAATCTTCCAACTTTTCGTTTCTTCGTACAGCACAATGGAAGTGTTCGACAATGTTGGTCGTTTTTACTACAAGATCTTACTGATGTATACATACAACCTATGAATTGTTGAACAATAATGAAGCATTGTAAACCCTCATTCAACGACTTTTTATCTGAATTTATGTTGTCACTTCATCACATTTTCTTACTTCAAACTCTTGCTCTTTTTCTTGAATTTGTACAAGATTTATTGTCTATCCTTCAAATAAAAATGTGTGAATTGCCGCTATGGTAATACACAACAATAGGTCTCGAGTCAAACAAATTGAATGTATTTTTTAGATGTTGTTTTGAGGAAACAGTTCACAGGTTCTAGTCAGTTTCAGTATTTTAATGATTAAACCTTATCACAGAAACTGAAAGTGTGGTTCTTATATATATACCACTTTTACATTTGAGGATTATACTATATGCATTAGACTTCACAAAGATTAAGCTGCTATGCAGTTCGACAATCGCACAACCAGAAAAACCTGCAACTGACCAGACCAGTGAACTCTTCCATTACCTCTCCTGTCATTTGTCATCTTGATTATCACTTTCTTTCATTTTGTTCCTGGAGCAATAATTCCATTTTTCTGTCATCAAGTTCTTCCGCAGACATCAATACTTGTACCCAATAGATCTAAAACTGAAGCTGCAGCAGCTCGGCTAATATGTATGCCCTGGGAAAAATAATCCATTCCAGGACAACGTTGCAGGAAAAGATTTCAGAATTAAGACAAGATTGCTAGTAGCAAATTTCAAATACATCTGGCCCTGGCAGTTGTTATGAAAGAGTTTGGAATTCATTTTCTCAGACAGAGAACTACAAAGTTACTCGCTCACAAAACTGCATTATGCAATCAGTATTGTTACATTTACAAAAATCCAACTAGATTGGTGTACATGTATAATCCATTTTCAGTGAACACAATGAATCTTACTGAAAGTTTAATGTTGTATGCTTACCACCTTAATTTTTGACATCTCATATTAGTTATTGATGTTTATTATGGTCACAATGGCGCATCAAATGATTTTGTACCCACCAGTGTCCAATTAAACAAGAAATTTGCATCCAAGGTGCGATAGTGATGCAGTCCCACATTGGAAATGGTCGGCAGTCATTTAAGTTGGCCTGGCTTGAAATTACCTTTGCAATATTGGCCATTAATCAAGGGTCTAGGATGATAAGTGTGTATGTACAGAACAAGTCAATCTCCAGAGGATCTCCTAGAGAAGTGCACAGCTGTCAAGGACTTGATCTGGCAAATCTTGCTATAAAATGGATTGAAAAAAGGGACAAAAATTTGATGCAACAGGAGTATACGATTAGAACCAGTATACCAAACATGTATACTTCATAGAAAATTGCACATTGCTGTAATGTTGAGAGGACACTGTCCTTGTACCAAAAATAACTGATGCCAAACCTATATGCAAGTAATCTATTTCAATACTAGCGGCAGCACATTTGTACAGGTTCTGGTGAGCAAGGCCAACAAGGATCAGTGTCAGTATGGTACATTTAACTGGCACCACATAGAGACCAGTCCAATCTAAAAATGACAAGGTATGAATTTGCCATGTTAAACAGTTGATATTTTCCAATTCTCACCCAAATACCCAATTTTCATGTCATCCCTTTTACATGCGAGGACTATACTATATGCATTAGATATCAAAGATTAAGCTGCTTTGCAGTTCGACAATCACACAACCAGAAAAACCTGCAACTGACCAGACCAGTGAACTCTTCCATTACCTCTCCTGTGTCATTTGTCATCTTGATTATCACTTTCTTTCATTTTGTTCTTGGAGCAATAATTCCATTTCTCTGTCATCAAGTTCTTCCGCAGACATCAATACTTGTACCCAATAGATCTAAAACTGAAGCTGCAGCAGCTCGGCTAATATGTATGCCCTGGGAAAAAATAATCTATTCCAGGACAACGTTGCAGGAAAATTAAAGATTTCAGAACAATGACAAGAAGATTGCTAGTAGCAAATTTCAAATACATCTGGCCCTGGCAGTTGTTATGAAAGAGTTTGGAATTCATTTTCTCAGAAGGAGAACTACAAAGTTTCTCGCTCACAAAACTGCATTATGCAATCAGTATTGTTACATTTACAAAAATCCAACTAGATTGGTGTACATGTATAATCCATTTTCAGTGAACACAATGATTCTTACTGAAAGTTTAATGTTGTATGCTTACCACCTTAATTTTTGACATCTCGTATTGGTTATTGATGTTTATTATGGTCACAATGGCGCATCAAACGATTTTGTACCCACCAATGTCCAATTAAACAAGAAATTTGCATCCAAGGTGCGATAGTGATGCAGTCCCACATTGGAAATGGTCGGCAGTTGTTTAAGTCGGCCTGGCTTGAAATTACCTTTGCAATATTGGCCATTAATCTAGGGTCTAGGATGATAAGTGTGTATGTACAGAACAAGTCAATCTCCATAGGATCTCCTAGAGAAGTGCACAGCTGTCAAGGACTTGATCTGGCAAATCTTGCTATAAAATGGATTGAAAAAAGGGACAAAAATTTGATGCAACAGGAGTATACGATTAGAACCAGTATACCAAACATGTATACTTCATAGAAAATTGCACATTGCTGTAATGTTGACAGGACACTGTCCTTGTACCAAAAATGACTGAACATGCCAAACCTATATGCAAGTAATCCATTTCTATACTAGTGGCAGCACATTTGTACAGGTTCTGGTGAGCAAGGCCAACAAGGATCAGTGTCAGTATGGTACATTTAACTGGCACCACAAAGATTTCAGCCTAATCTAAAAATGACAAGACGGTGAATTTGCCATGTCGACATTTTCCAATTCTCACCCAATACCCAATTTTCATGTCTTTCTTCAACAGTGCATCTCAATAGGTCTTCAAACATTATATCTACTTACTTCAGTTTGGACAGTGCCAAAACCTGTACAAACTTATATTTTATTTACTTACAGACCTTAAATTACCCCAGAGTTTAGCTTCTACCTTCTCTCTTGGACCACAATTCTTTTATTACTATCAGCTTGTTGTCCTTGAATAGCCAAAATGTTGCACCTTAACCGCAAAGATTTCATCAGAGGAAGAGACAGGATGCAACGTGTTGATCACCACTTGTGGCTTCCAGCTGCCCGCTAACAGCACAAAACTGGACCAAACTACACTTCAAGGATCCCGACTTTTCCACACATCACAGCAATTCAAAACTGCAGAGTAATTTTTTCAATAAACATTGCATTTTATAATTATTTTTAGTGAAAATTGAAATCTCGTGAAACTTTACCAGTTTACTTTCTTGAACATGGTTATGGAAAAAAGTACATGCAGGATTTCACAAGATACAACAAGCAAACCAAAAATACCACTAATACAATTCCTGTATGCTTGGATCAACTGACAGTATGAAGAATCAACTAGGCATTCACCAAACTGAACCGATGTTGGAAGTATGCCACTGTCATTTCCTGGGGGGGAGGGGGCTCTCAAAATAGATGTCAAACTGTACCCTCTGTCAACTTTAATGCTCTTCTCACTTTTCCTATAAATAAGAAAATATTGCACAAGGTTTTTCAACAATTTACTCGTTTCATCATTTTTCAGGTTTAGGTTTTCTAGGTATTGTTTTGAATGAAAGATTATCAATTACTTGTTGGCATTAAACATTTTTGTGTAATTTAAAAAAAAACACCAAACCAACAAATTTTGTCACAGGACAGCTTAGCCATTGCGGAGTCCACAGGAATCTGCCCCTTCAACATACTGTGGTAGGATGGAATACACAAACTGCAGGGTAAAACAGGTTGGCCACCAGCGAAATGGATCTTTACTATACAGCAGTTGGGACATTCAAATGATCAAATCATCAACTTGTCGGGGCAACATTAGGGATGACTGCAAACAGCTACAAGGACGAGATTTGTGCAGTGTCATCATCCTGGTGACCAGTTCTACTTATGGTGTCTCATATTTGTTACTTAAGGCCACTTGTTGATTTCAACATCTATAAACAAGAAAATTGTAGCATGCTCACATCTAGGACCAAACATTCTAAATACTGCAATTTTGAATTGTTTCTCAAATTCAATCTGTACATAAAAGACCATTACCATTTAATAAACTTGTCATTCACATGCGACGATTGTCAAAAATTAATCAAGATTACAAACATCAAACCCAATGGAAGTTTTCGCCATCTCTAATGCAAAACCTGCATGACGTAGAAGTCGCGCAGAAAATCTGGATGCAGTTTAAGCAGAAACGAGTTCACGATAGATGACCAGGTACCAAGCAAGGTTACTGATTGGAGAACGTTCATCAGCTAAGCCAGACTCTTGCAGGTTGAGCAAGATAGAAAATGTCGTCTCGTCAAACAAGCGATGGTTATTCTTGGTCAGGATAAAGACTATGCATGTAGCTGGCTACTTTCCCCAAACGGCCCCAATAGACTTGTACACAGTCCATGGTTTGATACTTGGACAATGCAGGCCACGTGTGCCAATCATGGGTATTGCTAATGTGGAATAGAAAGCAAGACAAAACATTAAATAAGTCATTTGGTAATCAACAATGACCAAACAAATGAAACGGTTCATGTTTACATTTTATTTAAAAAAACATACAGGTAAAACGACGTTCATTCGTCAAATCAACAACGCACGTACATCAGCTAGTTAACTTACAGAAACTGCGGACCTTTCATCATTTTCATACTTTACCATACCGAAATCTGACTTCAAACTTCATTATTTTCTGAGGAATTTCTAATTTCTTAGCAAATACACCGGAAACTTCGCCAGTCCCCCTTCTAGGCCCAACTGACGCCACATCAGCCAAACCGACGCCATATTGGTTTTTCACAACATCTCGCATATTCTTCCAAATTTTCTCCTAAAATAGCTTCTCCCCCGAATAAATCAGTTACATCATAGATCACTCTCGATGAAATTACACAGTCATATGTGAAAAAAGTCACAATTTCACCAGATGTTAAAGAAATTTTCACAAAGTCTCGTCATTCTTCTGCGTTATTTCTCGTGCGTGCCTCCTATCTCTCATCGTGACTGCCTGGAATGCCCCGCTCGATGGTTCGGTTGTCTTATATACTGGAAGTATATAAATTCATACGCAATAAAATAGTTCCAACAATGCATCCGTTTTAAATAAGTCTTTACCCATTTTATCAATTACTTATTGTTATGATAACAAACAGATTTATACTTTTTTTGGTTTTGTTATAACGAGAGAAATAACAAACCAATTTTTCCTTCATTAGTTCTGATACGCAGCGGAAGAATAACGGAATAACGAGGTCTTTTATGACGCAAGTGTCGAGAATATAGTATGACGCACGTAAACAACACCCTTGAGGCACCGATGGGGTACGCTTATTCGCCTACGCGCCAACAAAGGCTATGTTGTGTGTGTGTGTGTTTTTTTTTTTTTAAAGTCGATCAATATAACTGAATTACTATAAATAACCCTTTTAGTCATTAAAACCTGAGTCGTACACATTAAAATACCTAAATTTGTCACAGATATCGATCGTACATGCTAGCAGACAAACAAAACAAGTATCATGAGAAGATCAATGATATTTATAGAACAAAGTTTTGATTTTTCGTGGCATGTTTTTAATTAACTTTTAATTACTTCCTTATAAAAGAGCAATACATATTTTATTGGATTGGGCTATTATTATTTATTCAATATATGAAAATGTTTCGCTAAAAACCTGGAAGATCAGAAAATTGTTATTGAAACAATTTAACTGTTATTGAATATTGTAAGTTGTGATAACTTGAGCATGATCCATTTTGTAAATGTAAAAATAAAACCACAAGCTCCAAACAAAATCGAATTATTTTGAACTTTTCCCGACGTTTAATGTTTCACGATGGATTTCATTGTTATATTCAATACCCTAAGTGTGACGTTAATACCACAACATAGGACACCTAAGTCTGTGTTTTTACGAGACAGGTTAAATGTGATATTTTATTAACATTTTATAATAGCGTGATACACTGTTGTATCTGTTCTATTCTTTGTGCTATGATTATTACGCTTTATATTCAGTGACATATTATTCTCTGCAGTGAAAGTTATAGAAAATATAATCTTTGAAAACTATACACAATTTATTCCTTTGAAACGTCCAAGCTTAGCAATAATTTTCCTGGTCAAACAACTTTTTTATAATGCAAATTATCTGTTAAAACGCAGTCGCTGAATGGCTTTTGTATATAGTTATAAATGTTAGAAGGCAGCGTGTCTGTAATCGTCATGAGTGAAACCCGGTGTGATATGACCACCTCTTTATGTGTGGTTTCATTTTTTAAAAAAGAGGGAGAGAGGGGGTGTCTTCGATATTACGATTAACTTCATCACATTCTCGGCCCCATCGGCTGTCAAGCTTATTACTACAACATACTGACGAAGTGAACAGTACCCCTGTTGGATCAAAACGATAAAATCATTCATTACCTATCGATACTATCTATTATAAAGAAAATAGAGCTTAATTTGCGACTCCGATCAATACATCATACATGATCAACCTGGTATATTATGAACCATAAGTAAGTGTGATGAAATCTTATTTCAAACGAAAAAATAATTCATGGATTGAGATAAGCGTTGTCTGTAGTAGGGTCAAATCAATCATTCAGTCACCCTGCGATCAGGTACGTCCCTGTCCCGAGTGGCGTCATATTTTAACCCCCTGCAGGACAGTTTGTTGACAGCGGTTATAGTCTTTTCACTAAAAGTAGTTTTAATTCCAACAGGTAAACCTAACTTTTCACTTACATTTTATTTCATTTTCGTCAAGTTTATGTTCATTATTGTTTTACATTATCTATGATATATTACTTAGTTCAATATTACTTCTATTACATTTCTCCTCGTATTATAATGATTTTAGAAATATGTTAGAATATAGTGCTAAATCATCAACATAATAATTTTGTATATTCATATATGCTTTAGAGCTGAACGTAGTCAAACTTAATTAGTCATATTTTTCCTAAAATTAGATTTATGAATTTAGTTTCATAAATCATTCAAAACAAGACAGGTTGTGAGAAACACTGGTAAATCTCAGGTAAAACATTAATGTAAGAAAGGGGCAGCTTATATGAAACAGGATATAATTGTCTTGCAATTGTTTAAAAAATGTTGGCACTCCGAGAACACTCTAAAGTTATAGCTTAAGGCTGTGTGATTTCAGTTAATACCTATCAAGCTGCCCCTAGCTCGATAAGCTAGCTAGGTGTTGACAGGGTTCTCCTATTCATCAAGTCATTGTTATTTAAATCACTCACATGTCACATCAAAGAATCACGATTTGCTGGACGACGAGTTCCACGACATATCGAATTAAATACAACGCCGATTCTGAATTTTAATCACCCTTTAAACAAGTATTAATCTGATTTCAAGGAAGAATTACAGCATAGAGGCATGATAAGACGAAAGATCATAACAATTGAATGCAAAGTTGTAATTTAAATTTATCTTTTTTTCTGTTTATTCTGCATCAAATATCAAGATAATCTCTGTACATGTCCAGAAAAACATCAACAATTGAATACAAATTGATATTAATTTGCCAATTAACATATTGCGACTTTGAAAGATTTAATGGAAACTGCGTTATTAATGCGTATTGCGTGGTGACAAGGGCTATTTCAAGCTTAGAATGGATCTCCAATGTTTTAACCCATCTGTCAGCTTGATCACACCATTAAATTGGTTATACTTAAAAACCGTTTAGTTCTATCAATGATATTTACATAGTCTGCATAGTTCATATGAAACTGTGTAAATTTGGGACTGTGAATTTCGCTGTTTAGTTGTGTAAATTTGGGACTGTGAATTTCGCTCTAAAGTTGCGAACTGTAAATTGCTTCAACTGTAGTTGCGTAGCTTTGTATTGGAAGCTCATTCTAAAGGTACAAATTTTGCTGTAAGATCTGAACGATTTTCGTACACCTTAATACTATTATGAAAATGATAATTGGTTGGTTTATACATTTGGAAGAGTTATTTCCCTTGATGAAGGAATCGCGCCGCTGCCTGGTCCACATCACTAGAAACAGGGACGTAGATAAATGATACTTATCCTTCCAGGTTTATAACTATCAAGTTTATATTAGTGTCCCTTAATATTCAGAAATATATCCATGTATTATTTGAAAAGGCTTGATCGTTCTATCCATAATGAATATACATACTGGTATTCCTAAGTTTCGACTATTGAGATCAAATGCAATGATAATTGGACGGAAGAGGAAGACGAAATCCATTTTTTTCACAAAAATGTAACAAATTCAGTTCTGATAGAAAACACTTCACACCGTGACATGTGGTGCCCAGTCCTGTGTCCACCAGACTAATGTATATGGTTAATAGATAATTATAACAACTACATTTCAAACTGACTGTCTAAATTTATTCATCAACCATTTTTATCCAATCTAAGTAATGTTCAGGGTTTGCTAGAAGAACTAATATTTTCAATTTTGGTACCAAGAATGTACATGGTTCTTTCAATAATCATGACCATTTTACTTCATCAAAGAATGCTTCAGGTAAAATTTGGGAAATATCTATTCACATTCCAATGAAATGAGTGGAGTTCTAAAAAACTGCAAGTTCGTTAAAATCCTTCCCCTCGTGTAGTAATGATTGCATTTTGTCCAAATATAGACCGGTGCATTCTTTGTTGAAGGGGAATCAATTTTGTGTAAATGTTAGGTCTCCGCCCCCTTAGGCGGGAGGGGTATGAACCAACAGGGCAAAAAGAACAAATCTCGAAAATCTCACTCCTCCTGTAGGAATGATTGGATTTCGCCTTGATTTATTCAGAAGATATATAAATTATATATATACATGTTTCCGGTTCCTGACCGTTCCTATGTTTTTCCTACCTACCCGACCTGACCTCTCCTTTTGACCACAATTTTTCATCATGGTAAAAATACTGTAAAATCTCAGGGATGATTTTGCTCATGTCATTTGTTCTACGATCCCAAGAAGTACTTGTAACCCGAGGCAAATATTACAAACTGATGTCAAACATCCTCTCTGTTCCTTTCAGGGAAAATGGTAGCTGGGACGATAGTCAGTTTTGATATCAGTGGCTGGTGTACAAAATATATTTATTGGTGAAGTTGTCAACTTATATGTAATGCATTCATGTATCTTGAGTCTGTTTCTCCGTAAGGCAGTTATGAATGATACATCGTTTAAAAGATAAAACATTTTCTTAGTAACATACATACATATATAATATTTGTGTACAAACAATTAATGTTGTAAATCACAATGGCCACCACTATACGGAACCTCTTTCGAGTTACCTGCCAAAAAGTTAACTCGCGCCAGAGTGGCGGAAACAGTAGGTTTACAAGGACAAGTCTAGAGAGAATCCGTAGAGTGGCAGCCATGTTAATTATGTTGGAACGTAAAGTTGATGATGATGATAACATATATAAGTTAGTAGAAAAAATGACTGATCTTTCCATCGATGTATGATTTGTAACTATCGCGCTTGTTTAAATATGTAAAACATTGCCTGAATGCCAACCCGTATAGGGAGGAATTCTGACGATCAACTACAACCAAGACAGACATAAAAGTTTGAACAGACAGTCAGAACCATTCGGGGTAGATAAACATCTCATAATACACACTTATATGTCGACGTGATATATATCAAAACACTGACCACGTGTTGGTGTTCTACTTCTAGTTATGGTAGTAACTCTCATCTTCTCGGGGAACAAGTTTCTAAAACCATTAAACCAATAAGACCAATTTTCCCGTGTTTTCATTTCTTCTTGTGAGATGCAAGTCTTCTCTGATCGATACCAGATGGATGGTAAAGTCACACGCAGCATGCTTAATCAAATTATTTCAGTCTGCATCATTAGTCACAAGTCTTCACTTCAAATATTGTATAGACACAGTGTCATTTGTTGCAATGCTATGTGTTATTTTTTATGTTAAATTGTCTTGTATTTCCATAATTTATTTTACATTGTCTTATGTTACAATGAAATATTTATTTTACAATGCCTTGTGCTACAATGTCTTAAGAAATGATATATCATTTTACAATGTTTTGTGCTACAACGAATTATTTTGCAGTGTAATATGACCACCATGCAGTCGCAGATTATATTATGATGTCACAACCATCTTATGTAAATGTCTTACGTTACCCTATTCTTGTATTGCAATGTTGTCTATTACAATCTTTTGTGTTAAAATATATCGTGTTACAATATATAAGAACATCTCGAGTTACAATGTCTCGTGTTTACAATGTCTCGAGTTACAATGTCTCGTGTTTACAATGTCTCGAGCTAACAATATGTTACAATGTCTATTGTTACACTATTTCATATTTCAATGTCTTGTGTTACAATCTCTTGTGCAACATTATGTTACAACATCTCGTTTTGAAATGTCGTTGTTACAATGTCTCGTGTTTACAATGTCTCGTGTTACAATGTCTCGTGTTTACAATGTCTCGTGTTACAATGTCTCGTGTTACAATGTCTCGTGTTACAATGTCTCGTGTGACACTGTCTCGTGTTTACACTGTCTCGTGTTTACAATGTCTCGTGTTACAATGTTACAATGTCTCGTGTTTACACTGTCTCGTGTTACAATGTCTCGTGTTTACAACGTCTCGTGTTTACAATATGTCGTGTTTACACTGTCTCGTCTTTACAATGTCTCGTGTGACACTGTCTCGTGTTACAATGTCTCGTGTTTACAATGTCTCGTGTTTACACTGTCTCGTGTTTACAATGTCTCGTGTTTACACTGTCTCGTGTTACAATGTCTCGTGTTTACAACGTCTCGTGTTTACACTGTCTCGTGTTTACAATGTCTCGTGTGACACTGTCTCGTGTTTACAATGTCTCGTGTTTACAATGTCTCGTGTTACAATGTTACAATGTCTCGTGTGACACTGTCTCTTGTTACAATTTCTCGTGTTTAGACTGTCTCGTGTTTACTCTGTCTCGTGTTTACAATGTCTCGTGTTACAATGTTACAATGTCTCGTGTGACACTGTCTCGTGTTACAATGTCTCGTGTTTACAATGTCTCGTGTTTACACTGTCTCGTGTTTACAATGTCTCGTGTTTACAATGTCTCGTGTTACAATGTTACAATGTCTTTTGTTTCACTTTTTCATATTGCAGTGTCTCGTATTACCTTCGATGTATGAAATATGACATTTTCGTAAACAATGAACTGTACTGTTTGTTCATAGTGTAAGTTCGCCTGCATATGGACGACGCCGAGAAGAAATGGTCTTGACCATCTGAATAATGGTATGTTGTGTCATTTGGTATTGTGACTGCGGCCTTTGTTACTATGAGTGTGGCCTTTGTTACTGTGGCTGTGTCATTTGTTACTATGAGAGTGGCCTTTGTAACATGTCTGTTATCTTTGTTACTATGAGCGTGTCCTTTGTTACTGTGACATTTGTTACTATGAGTGTGGCCTTTGTTACTGTGGCTGTGTCATTTGTTACTATGAGTGTGTCCTTTGTTACTGTGGCTGTGTCATTTGTTACTATGAATGTGTCCTTTGTAACATGTCTGTTGTCTTTGTTACTATGAGCGTGTCCTTTGTAACATGTCTGTTGCCTTTGTTACTATGAGTGTGTCCTTTGTAACATGTCTGTTGCCTTTGTTACTATGAGTGTGGCCTTTGTTACTGTGGCTGTGTCATTTGTTACTATGAGTGTGGCCTTTGTAACATGTCTGTTATCTTTGTTACTATGAGCGTGTCCTTTGTTACTGTGACTGTGTCATTTGTTACTATGAGTGTGTCCTTTGTTACTGTGACTGTGTCATTTGTTACTATGAGAGTGGCCTTTGTAACATGTCTGTTGCCTTTGTTACTATGAGCGTGTCCTTTGTAACATGTCTGTTGCCTTTGTTACTATGAGTGTGTCCTTTGTAACATGTCTGTTGCCTTTGTTACTATGAGTGTGGCCTTTGTTACTGTGGCTGTGTCATTTGTTACTATGAGTGTGGCCTTTGTAACATGTCTGTTGCCTTTGTTACTATGAGTGTGTCATTTGTTACTATGAGTGTGGCCTTTGTTACTGTGGCTGTGTCATTTGTTACTGTGGCTGTGTCATTTGTTACTATGAGTGTGTCTTTTCTTTGTTTCTCTTATATACTTTGTAAATACATTATTTTCTGAGTAATAGGGGCATATTCATAAAATTACTAACGAGGATAATTTCCGATGTGATGACGCCTGGAAGTTGGAGCTGTGCCAAGTGGCGAACATCTTGTCTGCCCCTTCCCATGGTATGCCGGACTCTTTGAACACACAAATAAAACAAACGGGATGGAGAGGTTGACAGTGCTATCAAATCCTTCAGAATATCCGGCATACTTCTACGATATCTAGCGAAACACATCGGATAATTTCCGTGCCTGTCTCGAATGACTACTTGGTTTGTTTCCATGAGAAGACATTCAATTCCGAGGAGACAACGACCGGGCTCACATGAATCTAATAGACAGAATAATGGCGTCCGACCCATAATGTCTTTAACGTTAGCGTCGCATCCGCTCTGTAGCAAAAGGGAAACCTTGTCGCCATTTCCCTGAGTTGAAATGATGTGCAAGATGGTCTGTCCGTCCCGATTCGTCTGATTTATCACTGAAGTACATGCGACACTCATTGCTTGACGGAGTTCAGATAATGTTAGCCTTTCACAAGAGCATATATGGTGTAAATATGTGCATCCATTCACGTCTGCAAGTGTGACGTCAGCACCTTCATTGGTAAGATACTTGATGCTCCGCAGCCGTCCGTGCTTAGCCGCTACTGCTAGAGGTGTACATAAATAATCATCACGACTATTTATATCGACGCCAGCCTCAAGCAAAATTTTCATAGCACCATGTAGTTCCTTTTTAGCTGCAAAATGAAGGAGGGCTTGCCTCTGAGAACAAAGTTTCTCCTCTCCGTCTGCCCCATGCTGTAATAATATTTCCAAAATGCACGAAGCTTTCAGGATTTGATCTTTGATAGAATTCCAAAATTCTGCTTCAATATTCAGGTCGTCGAAACATAGGGTTTTCTCATCCGGCCAGATACGTGGCCAATACTGCAAACAAATATTGCATGGTGTTCTTCCGTACATGTCGAGTGCGGTCACATCGGCTCCGTTTTCTACAAACAGTCTTACAATTTCCGGTCTGCGATACATGCATGCGACGTGCAATGGCGGAGAACGCGAAACATGACCACATGGAAATTCATTCAGAACTGGAAATTTCCCGCCTGAATACTTGTTCAATATATGTTGACAAAGTTGCAAATTGTTGGACAGGATGGCGTTATGTAAAATCTCTCCAATGGGCAGTCCCTCTTCTGATGGACTTGTGGTATCGAAACGGAATAATTCACACTTGGCTGTCTCATGGCAAGACATTCTGCAACCCATGATCGACTCGGTCATTTGTTTGCAAATTGGAAGGCAAACGTCATTTGCTATGTTTACGTCATTCTGTTTATGACGTCATATCATTTGCACATGTGAGACCTACAGTGAATGTCACATGACCACAGAAGGAAAGGGGTAACACGGTGACACAGAGTAGGTTGGGGTACCGATAGTACAACCCATTGTGTACGACAGCCATCTCGATCTTTGTTGTCTACAGGAAGCCTTCCACAGAGGAATCAAATATCCACCCTAACAAACCATGCTGCATGACCATATATACTAGTAAGACATTAAACAATGTAAATATAAACTATGGGTGAAAGAAACTATAATATTGAAATGATATTTTATTAGATTTATAGAAATATCTGCTTGAAAAAAAAGTCACATTACTTTGCCAGTTGAGCGGATCCAACAAGAATCTATGTTGATGTAATGTGGACTAAACAGGCCCTCCCATGGAAGTTATCGGAGGAATATAACATTGGTGTCAGGGATAACAGAATACAATATTTATCTGGCATTCGATAGTACGGGGTGTTTGATGAAAGATGACCTTTACATGTATCTCAACAAGGATGGCCTTTACATGTATCTCAATAAGGATGGCCTTTACATGTATCTCAACAAGGATGGCCTTTACATGTATCTCAATAAGGATGGCCTTTACATGTATCTCAATAAGGATGGCATTTACATGTATCTCAATAAGGATGACCTTCACATGTATCTCAATAAGGATGGCCTTTACATGTATCTCAACAAGGATGGCCTTCACATGTATCTCAATAAGGATGGCCTTTACATGTATCTCAACAAGGATGGCCTTTACATGTATCTCAACAAGGATGACCTTCACATGTATCTCAATAAGGATGGCCTTTACATGTATCTCAATAAGGATGGCCTTTACATGTATCTCAATAAGGATGGCCTTTACATGTATCTCAATAAGGATGGCCTTTACATGTATCTCAATAAGGATGACCTTCACATGTATCTCAATAAGGATGGCCTTTACATGTATCTCAATAAGGATGGCCTTTACATGTATCTCAATAAGGATGATCTTTACATGTATCTCAACAAGGATGGCCTTTACATGTATCTCAATAAGGATGGCCTTTACATGTATCTCAACAAGGATGGCCTTTACATGTATCTCAATAAGGATGGCCTTTACATGTATCTCAACAAGGATGGCCTTTACATGTATCTCAACAAGGATGACCTTCACATGTATCTCAATAAGGATGGCCTTTACATGTATCTCAACAAGGATGACCTTCACATGTATCTCAATAAGGATGGCCTTTACATGTATCTCAATAAGGATGATCTTTACATGTATCTCAACAAGGATGGCCTTTACATGTATCTCAATAAGGATGGCCTTTACATGTATCTCAACAAGGATGGCCTTTACATGTATCTCAATAAGGATGGCCTTTACATGTATCTCAACAAGGATGGCCTTTACATGTATCTCAACAAGGATGACCTTCACATGTATCTCAATAAGGATGGCCTTTACATGTATCTCAACAAGGATGGCCTTTACATGTATCTCAATAAGGATGGCCTTTACATGTTTGTCAACAAGGATGACCTTCACATGTATCTCAATAAGGATGGCCTTTACATGTATCTCAACAAGGATGACCTTCACATGTATCTCAATAAGAATGACCTTTACATGTTTGTCAACAAAGATGACCTTTTAACATGTATGTGAACAAAAATGACCTTAATGTCAAAGGTCAAATATATCATATGATCACTACCGCACGTCTATTCTTCATACATTCGATTATGTGATATTTCTGTTCGTAAATCCGACAACGGTCGACCTTATTAAGCGTCAGACATTTTCTCTTCGATTAAAGATTACATTGTAGTACACAAACACTGTATTGATTAACGTATTCATCTGGTTCCAATCCTTAAATCTTATTGACCGAAAAATGTTTTGTAATTCTGAAATAGATACCGGTTGTCAATCCACACCAAGCAGACACCAGAACGGATTCACATAGCGACTAGGTTCATCTCTTATTTCGTGCAGGTGATAGCTTTAAAAATTGAACATATAAAATCATGTGTATCTTAATACTCTTAATTAATTTTAATTAGAAGTATGGCCGATTTTTAGCGTCACGCTAGTGAACATTTTCAATAAGAATGGTCGCTAGAGAGATAGATAGTATATCCGTACATGTATCTAGTGTTATAGTATACCCGTACATGTATCTAATGTTATAGTATACCCGTACATGTATATAGTGTTATAGTATATCCGTACATGTATATAGTGTTATAGTATACCCGCACATGTATATAGTGTTATAGTATATACCCGTACATGTATACAGTATTATAGTATACCCGTACATGTATATAGTATTATAGTATATACCCGTACATGTATATAGTGTTATAGTATATACCCGTACATGTATATAGTGTTATAGTATACCCGTACATGTATACAGTATTATAGTATACCCGTATATGTATATAGTATTATAGTATATACCCGTACATGTATATAGTGTTATAGTATACCCGTACATGTATATAGTATTGTAGTATATACCCGTACATGTATATAGTGTTATAGTATACCCGTACATGTATACAGTATTATAGTATACCCGTACATGTATATAGTATTATAGTATATACCCGTACATGTATATAGTGTTATAGTATACCCGTACATGTATATAGTATTGTAGTATATACCCGTACATGTATACAGTATTATAGTATATACCCGTACATGTATATAGTATTATAGTATATACCCGTACATGTATATAGTATATACCCGTACATGTATATAGTGTTAGAGTATATACCCGTACATGTATATAGTGTTATAGTATACCCGTACATGTATCTAGTGTTATAGTACACCCGTACATGTATATAGTGTTATAGTATACCCGTACATGTATATAGTATTGTAGTATATACCCGTACATGTATATAGTGTTATAGTATATACCCGTACATGTATATAGTGTTATAGTATACCCGTACATGTATATAGTGTTATAGTATATACCCGTACATGTATCTAGTGTTATAGTATACCCGTACATGTATATAGTGTTATAGTATACCCGTACATGTATATAGTGTTATAGTATATACCCGTACATGTATATAGTGTTATAGTATACCCGTACATGTATATAGTGTTATAGCATATACCCGTACATGTATATAGTGTTATAGTATACCCGTACATGTATCTAGTGTTATAGTATATACCCGTACATGTATATAGTGTTATAGTATACCCGTACATGTATCTAGTGTTATAGTACACCCGCACATGTATCTAGTGTTATAGTATACCCGTACATGTATATAGTGTTTTAGTATATCCGTACATGTATATAGTGTTATAGTATATACCCGTACATGTATCTAGTGTTATAGTATACCCGTACATGTATATAGTGTTATAGTATACCCGTACATGTATATAGTGTTATAGTATATACCCGTACATGTATATAGTGTTATAGTATACCCGTACATGTATATAGTGTTATAGCATATACCCGTACATGTATATAGTGTTATAGTATACCCGTACATGTATCTAGTGTTATAGTACACCCGCACATGTATCTAGTGTTATAGTATACCCGTACATGTATATAGTGTTTTAGTATATCCGTACATGTATATAGTGTTATAGTATATACCCGTACATGTATCTAATGTTATAGTATACCCGTACATGTATCTAGCGTTATAGTACACCCGTACATGTATCTAGTGTTATAGTATACCCGTACATGTATAAAGTGTTATAGTATACCCGTACATGTATATAGTGTTATAGTATATACCCGTACATGTTTCTAGTGTTATAGTATATACCCGTACATGTATATAGTGTTATAGTATATACCCGTACATGCATATAGTATTATAGTATATACCCGTACATGTATATAGTGTTATAGTATATACCCGTACATGTATATAGTGTTATAGTATACCCGTACATGTATCTAGTGTTATAGTATACCCGTACATGTATAAAGTGTTATAGTATACCCGTACATGTATATAGTGTTATAGTATATACCCGTACATGTTTCTAGTGTTATAGTATATACCCGTACATGTATATAGTGTTATAGTATATACCCGTACATGCATATAGTATTATAGTATATACCCGTACATGTATATAGTGTTATAGTATATACCCGTACATGTATATAGTGTTATAGTATACCCGTACATGTATATAGTATTATAGTATATACCCGTACATGTATCTAGTGTTATAGTATACCCGTACATGTATATAGTGTTATAGTATACCCGTACATGTATATAGTGTTTTAGTATACCCGCACATATACCTTGTGTAAGCCTATCCAGTGAAAGTAGTGCACTAGTTTCACTGTAGATGTTTAGATATTGATTTGTTTCCTGTAAAACAGTACTAACGTGAAAATTACCACTAGCTAAAGCAAACATCGCACTGAAAAACCATCCGGGTAATTCAGTACAGTACATTGTGATCACTGGTCCGTAAATAGACACATATGAGATCGATATGTAACTACACACACACATACTTCTAGGTCAGTGAATTACAGGTTTTCCCAGGTACGACGACAATAGTGTCAATAGTAAACCGAAAGTAGAGGGAAAATTCCTCAATAAACATGGCGGATCTGTTCAGGACAAACCTTGTGTAAGGCAATATAACAAACAGTCGGAAAGGAAGCAGAGAGAAAAGGCAGATAACGAATTAGAAAAGAGAAAGAGATGGCAGTCAGTAAGGAGATACAACGGATACGAGTCATTGATTAAAAAGAGAGGAGAGAGGTCAGTCTGTAAGGAGTGAGACGAGTAACAAAGTAGAGACCATTCAGGAAGGAGACGCCCACTCAGTAAGAAGACGAGTCAACCAGAAGACCAGTCAGTAAGGAGACGAGTCAACCAGAAGACCAGTCAGT